AGCTGTGTATTTATTTCAGCCGACAGTAAGAGCGAAATGAAACCCTTTAAAAACCGCTAAATTGATTCAAAACCTATCTGATTTCGCTTTTTAGGAAATCCGGTTTTTTTAAAGTAAAGTACAGTCAAACCTAAATAAAACGCTTCTAATGTTCTTGACACTGATTTAGGTTTGAAAATTAACCGGTAAACAAGCCCTGGTACAAGGCTGGACTCAACGCGTGCTTCACTCTGCCATTGGGCGTACATTTTTTTACCTTGCCAATTTGACGCCAATGGGCCAATATTGTTTTGATGCTAACATCGAATTTTCCTGCTAATTCTACTGTATATTGAGAATCATCAGCTTCCATAACCTCCTTAAATTCGTCATTTTGTAACGTTACACTCCCCTACGAGGGGGAAGAAGAGTGTAGCGGAAGAGCAAGAATAGAAAGAATAAAATTTGGAAGAAGGTAAAGAAAATTAAGCGCCGTGAAGTGGCGAGTAAATTGATACCGTGAAAGTGGTACCTAAACATAGAATTTGGAAAAGTTAAGAAACAAAAATAGTTGTATAATACAAAACATATGAAAGTAACTTATATCTAGCTTAAAACTAAGTTTGGCGCAGCAGCAGCGTTGCCATTGATACGGCAATTACCGTAATATACGGCAATTTGAGCATAATTTTAGATTATACGACATACGGAAGGTTTGTCATTGCCTTATAATAATACTAACTACCTATAAATTTTAATAAATAAGATAAGGTAATACGGCAAAATCATGATTTTTATTCAAAAATACGGCAATCTCATGTATCGAATACGGCAACTCTTTCAAACTTGACGGCAACACTGAGCGGTAGACAGATGCACCACAATGGACAAGAAATCTGCAAAATTTTCCCACTAGGGGCGCTGTAATCGCTTGACCCAAAACTTCTATCAAATCGTATATCGTACCGAGAATGAGTATTCTTGCATATTAATAGGAGTGCCTTTCTACTAGATCAGCTTTTCTGCCTTGCACAGATGCTCCTCTCCTTTTCAACTCTGTTTTCAGCTGTATTACAGACCATGTTAAATTCACTTTTACCACTTATTTAATGTTTTTAACAACAAAAAAACACTTTAAAAATTTGACAGCTGCAATATTCGGCTGTGGTTTGGGTCAAGCGTTTGCAGCGCCATCTATGTCGAGCTTTGCGTATAATTCTCCATTGTCGACAAAAGTTTTCGGTCGACAGCGGGGTTCATTAATTAGGTCGGAAATTTCCAGCACGGAAGCGGGCAAACCAATAACGGGTGATGCGATACTTAGTAGCGTTCGCTCCGTATGTCGTTGATGTTGCCTGTAGCTTTGCTGTCACCACGGTACTCATACTCCATAATCACTTGAATTTTTAACGTATCCAGGATGACGAAAAGTGTACGTGAATGTGCTGTACCCCTAGCACGAACCATTATCGAATTCGTAAAGTTTGCGAGTGCGAAATGTCAATGTCAAATTTTGTATGGAAACTTGAACAGTAGCGCCACAAACTACGTAACGAGAACTAAAAATCAGTAGGTACACATTTGACAATGATATTTCGGACTCGCAAACTATTCGAAATCGATGTTGGTTCGTGCTAGGGCTACTGAAAACAGAACGCTAACCATTCAATAAGTGACTAAGTCATTATCAAAAACTATTCCATGTTTTAAAAATAAAAATATTTTAAAATTAGAGAATTAGAAAATTCTTAGTTAAAAAAAATACTTGAAATAGCCAGTACGTACGCAGCAAAGGTGGATCCAGGCCCCCCCTGGGGGGGTCATGACCCCCCCCCCCCCCCCTGGGCTGGGTCCATCTGTACCCACTTCACAATCTGCTCTTGGTACGCAGTAGTACAGTAGCCTATTATTATAAATAAGAAATTGTATCTGACTGTCTTAACTGTTCTCGCTTAAAACGCTGTATAGATTTAGATGAAATTTGAGTCCCGGAAAAAGGACATAGGATAGTTTTATCCCAGAAATCAACCTTTAAGGTGGTAACAAGAGTGGTGGAATGTGTATGGGAAACCAAATTTTTCATCTCATCCGTTAGCTGTTATGCAGCGCACTCCAGGAGAGGCGCAGCGAAGATACTACGCGCGGTGAATCTGAGCGATGTAATAAATAGAATACATATTATACTATACATTTAGTTATTTAGAAATACATATTAAACATCCATGTCTAGAGTAGAAATGCTATTGCTCGTATTCATCACACAAACATCTGCCCCCACCGGCATTCGAATCCGGGACTTCTCGTGTCGGCAACACCGTGAAAACCGGCGTACAAACCACTCGGCCACGGAGGTCGTCAACTATGACATAGGAATTAGTATTTAATATATAACTTTTCAGTATCTTTGCCGCGTCGCTCCAGCCGGGCTATTCGCCATCATTTTTGACATTTACAGTGTGTAACTGAAGAGAAAATTTCACATCCATCGACGCTTTTCAGAACAAGTATCTTAGTGGCTTTATAATAAAGCAGTAGTGGATCACTAAATACCTCGGTGATTATCACTTCCATGTTCCATCTGTCAAAAGCAGTTAGCGAATAGATCTACTGGTGTGCGCTGCGCCATATACACACCTATCAAAATCAAAAAGGTATTTAATCATACTTACGAACTCAATATGCTCAGTAAAATTGAGTGTGCATAAATCATATCAGTTATCAGCGTTTCTGGCATCGCCGCCCTTCTCGGGGATCGGGGAAGACACATTGTGTTTTAGTACTCTTTTGGTAGACGTTTACACTACACGTTAATTGTACTTCGGTAGCTATGATTTTCGCACTTGGTCCTTAAGTGGACCATTGTATGTGAGCCATTGTGACCGAGAATTCCAACGGCGTTATACCTTTTTCCGAGATAAAATAAGGGCAGGAACAAGTTGAATTTGAAGCTGCGATTCCACGAACCGGAGCTGCGTGAAGCTGAGCAATTTTAAAGAAATAAACCAGTGGTATTGCTTAAAATACACACATGTACTTATTTTGAGCAATGCCATGCTTAAAATAAACACATGTATTTTGAGCAATGCCTTTTGGTTAATTCCTTTAAGACTGATCAGCTCCGCTTCTGTGAAAGTTCCTTTAACTTATCTGCAGATACCTCTGTATTATGCAACTTACCTCTCACTTGCTCAATAAGTACCTGAGTTATATTTATTCCAGGGCTTGAAACCGGTTTCAAAAATACCGGTAAATAAAGGTTACTACCGGTTTTTAGTAAAGGTTTCGTTCGGAGCGCCTCCGAAATTTAAGCGGTACCTAAAACCTTAATAAACCGGTTTAATCCAGAGCGACACGTGCACGCGTCGGTATCGCTTGAAGTTTGTTTTGTTTGAACTAATCAAGTCACAACTTGTTAATGCTCAGAGATTGATGCATTTATTGACACGTTTGCTATCGTCTAGTGAGTCAAGTTATTCATATTGTAGTTGTGTATTTATTTCAGCCGACAGTAAGAGCGAAATGAAATCCTTTAAAAACTGCTAAATTGATTCAAAACCTATTTGATTTCGCTTTTTAGGAAAACCGGTTTATTTAAGGTTAAGGTAGAGCCAAACCTAAATAAAACGCTCCTAATGTACTTGACACTGATTTAGGTTTGAAAATTAACCGGTCAACAAACCCTGAATTTTATTCATTGGTAATACTAGTACATTACATATGTTCACTATTCTTCTGACGGAGAAACTACTGATGATTACAAAAAATAATGATATACAGGCGTCCCACGGGTTTGTCACACGGAGGGAAAGTAAGTATATTAAATATTGAAGATAGGATATTTTAGTGACAGAAGATATCATTTCATTTTTAATAATAACTAGAACTGCATTCACAGTTTTCAATCAAAAAATCGCCTGTCAAAACCGTGAATCAAACTCGTGAAATGTGAAACAAAAAAACGCATGTATTATATGATAACCATCGAAAGGGATGAGGACCATGAGGATTGCTTTTCCTTAATAACATAGTATTTTATATGTAAGAAAAATCACGAACTTTGTTTTTTTTTGAATAATTGAACACAAACTACAATAAAAAAGATACGGGGCAAGGTTTGTATAGTAGTTATCGCGTTATAATTTTTTCACGTACTCATAGTAAGGAAATCTTGTATTATTAAGTAAGCCGGTATTAGTTAGTAAATACTTTGTAATGATAACATTAGCTGTTAGAAGCAAGGAAAAGTGAGAGGAATTTTCCTGAACAAAATTTTAGTTTCATCATTTCATGATCTTCCTTTCATTTAAAATGCTATGCTATTTAGGAAACAATAATCCATAAGATTAACCCTTTCGATGGTTATCATAAAATATGCCGTGTTTTTTTTTTAATTTCACGAGTTTTATTCCCTGTTGTAGCAGTCGATTTTAAAAAACTCTGTGAATGCAGTTCTAGTTATTATTAAAAATAAAATGAATTCTTCTTTCAGTAAAATATCCTATCTTCAATATTTTGTTCCGTGGGAACTCCCTGTATAAGAATTAAAAAATAGCATACAAAACAAATTAATTTATTGTTCTGATATCACTATAAAATACAGTTACTATTTATACTTACACGTTACGAATTTACCTACCTACACAATTTATATTGTAATGATATTTTTCATTTTATAAAATCACATTTTATTGGTATGTTTAATTTTGAATCGGACACATCAGATATTTCAAACATCTTTAACTTTTTTTTTAATTTAACCGTAGCACAAAAATATGGCTCACTCATATCTGTAGGTGCCTACCTATTCAAAAGAATTAAAGTTAGGTGAATGCAGTTTCAAAGAAAAAATTACCTACATACTTCGATTTTTTATCTTGTAATTGCTTTTGACAACGCAAATTTCAACAAATCGAATAATATAGCTGTCTCTCTATCTGTGTTGATAGTTTATGATAGTTACGTTCACAAAAGCTCTCATGTCTTCCTGACTCTATCAGCACTCCTTCACGTAGATGCTATACCAAAGAAGAATCCACCAACAAATCCCACAGAGTAGCAGCTGTTATCTCTCACGAACCGCACAATCTTCTCGACCCAGGCGTGGCTGCGGCCCGCAGACTCCCTTACCCTATCCCAATTCACATTAATATACCCATACTCACTCGCGAAATGCAAGAGTATGATACTTCCGCCCAAGCCAAATGCTGCAACCTTGCCTACTCTTATAACAGTCACTCCTGCCAACCACCCGGACAAGGTCCCTACCACGAGGTTCCTGCTGGGACTGCTCCCTGATATTCTACCCACTGCCGCGTCAATGTACGTTCTGCTGTTCGCAGGTTTGATGTCCGCTTCGTTAAGCTTTGATATGTCCCGCAGGTTGATGTCAGGGATGGGTCTTGCCATGTGATCACATAGCTATCATTTGTAAGTAATAATTTGTTCTCGGTTTGATATGTTCTGTTCTGTCCAGTTATGGTTAATAAATTTGATTGTTCTGTCAAATAAGTTGACACCTGTCTAGGTAGTAAGAAGTTGAGGTTCTTGGATTGAATCTTAGGGGCGATTCACACCGGAATGGCAAAAACTTTGCTACTATGCGATTCAAATAAGAATAGGAAATGACCTCCATCTGTCAAATCTGTCGCTTCAAAAGTACGGTTTGCAAAAAAAACTGTGAACACTTTTTTTAGCACTGAGCTATTCTTAGAATAAAAACCAAACATTTGTAAACAAAAAAAGGACATCTCATATGAACGTAAAGAAAATGAGTACTGGAAAAGGGAAATATAAGAACTTTGGTTTTATTATAAATACAGGTAATAAAAAGACCGTTTTTATTTTAAATAAAGTTATCGTTTTAAAACCTACAATACCTAATCGATATTTTATTTTATATCAGCAGTGATGATGATGACTACTCCGACGGTAGTGCATAGATGACCGACATTAAAGAGCTAAATATTATTAAAAAGTAAGTATGTTTTTATTTCTCTCAATAAAAGTGAAAAAAAATGGTTGCCTGTAAAGTCGGTTTTACGGGCGAAGATTTTACGTGACAACGTCTTTTTCTCGGTAGAATATTTATTGATATGAATATAATTAAATTGCACAATAGGAACAAGGAATTGAATGAAAATAAGAATTGCACAAATTTTAACTATAGAAATATATTTTGTTTACTAAAACATTGTACATGTAAACTTAAACTTAACACGAGAGACTCATCGTAACGTTACCGAGCGTTACACTTTTTCATAAGTGACTCCCAGCCGCAACCTAATTTAAGACGTTGTCACGTCAAAAATGTTATTTAAAAATCTGTTGGTCTTTTCCCACTTGATCTTGGTAAATACCAAAGTTTTATTAAAGAAAAACTTTTTTGTTCACTCTACCTAACCGGGTTGAATTGACAGCTATGACGTCATAATATGGCGACCAGTCGGTCCTATTCTTAGTTGGATCGCACTGTACTCTGCTTACCCGTCAGCAGGCTACCATAATACCAAAATATTATGTAAAGTTAAATTGTTGTTGTGTTGTGTTGAACCTAAATGTTATGTAAAAAGAAAAGTTGTACTATGCATCCAAATTGAATAAATATAGTTTGATAATTATATAAAATATTTTGTTTCGAGTTAGAAGAATATGATCAAATTCTCGTCTTAACAAACGTTATCAGCGTTATAGATGTCACCTGTTACCTACCCTCACCATAGAGGTATAAGAATAGAGTGAGGAAGGCGGCTCTAAAAGTGTCCGTCTAGTAGAAAGAGAAAGAAGATGAGAGACCGCTAGCTATCTCTCTCTCTAGTGACGCATGGCATCCAATGGCATGACATCGAAATAGTAAGATGCTTACGAGTCTATATCTCCCCTACTCTATTCTTAAACCTCTGTGACCCTCACTCACAGAGAACGGCAAGGAATTTTCTGTTTTATATTGCATAACATAAGATCCACTGTCAATTGATGAGCTAGTGACTGTACTTCTTATTTTTTTAATTTGTGTTTTACGGCCGTAGCTTTCACCATTTCAGCCTTTCATTAGTATCTCTAGTTTCCATTTATTTATTATCTTCAAAGGTGTTAATCACGTAATTATAAAAGATAGGGTATGTATTTCTGTTTTTTTAAGATAGATGGCAATTGGCTGGGAAGGCTGCAGTTTTGGTAGATCTGATTAAGCCATCTATCAGTAACATCCTCTGTTTAAGGAAATCAGGGCAATCCCAAGATAAGGTGTTGCAAGGATTTAACATTATTTGTATTACTGAAGTGGCGATTTTGGCATTATTCTCAAAACCTAAAATTAAATTTGGCAACAATGCATTCTTGTCATTCTCTATACAGAATGAAAAGGAGAGACTCATATTAAATTCAGTTTTAAGTTTAGAGAACCATGGCAGAATTGACACCAGTATCTTCATCTGTGAATTATACTGTTGACCATCAGTGCTGACCAGGACCAGAGCCCATTTATAACTTCTTGATATTTGGCGCGTATTGAAATCGTTCTGAACTAATGATATTTAATCTAAGAGCAAACGCACATTGAGCCACTAAACGCGACCACTAGTGACTCAGCCCCTAGCAGGGTTGCCAACCTTAGATTTATATATATATATATATTCATTTACATAGTGATAATATATCAGGTAGCTGTTTATAAACAGCTACCTGATATATTATCGTTACGTTTATTTATAAGCTGGCACACAAATGGGCCGAGTGACAAACGCACATCGTTATTAGGATTACAAGAAAATCCAGAATTAGTATTGTATTCACAGACACATTATCACCCATTATGACATTCACCCATCAGAGCCAAATCCTATTACATATGTCAATGGGATATTACGGCTGGTGAATGAAATTCTCGGCATTGGCTGTAGGAATATCTTCAACATCGGCGGTTTCCTTAAAAACTTTATATAACTCCTAAAATACGCTACACTAAACCACTAGTTTTAGTGGAAAATCAACTAAGTTGGCAACATTGCGATACAATTTGGTAGTGTCCAACAACCCGATTACAATCAAAATGTATGTCGTTAGATGGCGTTGTTATATTTAGTGGAAGAGCTAAAGGTCTTTCTAGACGGCGCCGCAATATATTAATTCCAAGGAACTTTTTAACAAACTGGAATGCTTTCGCGACCCTCAAAATCGTTCTAAGAGCATAGCTGAATTGGTGGAATCTGTCTCGTTCTAATAGTGTATATAATTTCCTTGATTAATTGATAGTCTAATCTTTATATATATAATTCTTCTGTGAGTGTGTATGTCACTGAACTTCTCTTAAACGACTGGACCGATTTTGATGAAATTTTTTGTGTGTGTTCAAGGGGATCTGAGAATGGTTTAGATTCACAATTTTGTCCGCTGGACAACCCCTATTTTTTTAGGGCGGTACGAAGTTCGCTGGGTCAGCTAGTAATTTATAAAGTCATGTAATGTAATCGTTTGTTTTTTGGATTCTTGGCACCTGTATGATTCGCGCATTTAGTGTATTTCCATGCGATATCCTGGGACTCAGCAGATTGTTCGACCTCGGCAATTTGATTAGATTATCAAATTACAACGCCATCAAGGGATTATATTTAGCACTACTACAAGATGAAAAAAGCGCCATCTAACGGCACTTAAATCTTTCTTGAAACAAACAGGTTGCGGATGAAATTATAAATTTCTCGAAACCTCGTACAAAATTGTACGAGACGTCAAGTGTCCTCGTACCTCGTGCGGTAGACCAGAAATCTCGTATTTGTACAAGAAATCTCGTACGATTGGCAACCGTGGCCCCTAGACGCAGCCAACAATCAAATCTATACAAATCGAGCGATCGCTACTAAGCTACCAGTGGCGGCCACTCGATTTCTCTCGATTGGTGTCTGCGTCTGGTGGCTTGAGTGAGCCACTAGTGGTCACGATCAGTGGCTCAGTGTGCGCTTGCTCTAAGATTCGCACTAGGAACGACCTTTATCCATCTTTTTAATGGTTGAAAAGTATTCTAAATCAAATTAGATCTGAGCACCTAAATGGTGTTGACAAGCTACGGCACTTGCACCTTCCTTAAGCCAAATGTAAGCTACATTAGGCTTAAATTTAGCAAAATTCTCTTCGTGAACTTCTTGAAAAATGATAGGTCATTTGCTCGCTTTAACTACAGCTTCATTGAGAACTGCGTAGCCCCAAAAACTCTAATCATAATAAAAACTTGGCATGGTTTTATGATACCACGATGCAATTGAAACTTTTATCCCCTAATTAATTAAACGAATAATAAGCTTGGATTAGTTACTCCATGATTAGTCTCTGTTCATTGATTGACAAATGAGAGGTGTTAAATTTAAAGCGACCATTATTCATTTTTGGGATCAACTTTACCATTGATTTGTACAATTTTTTCGAATAAAAATATCCGCTTGTCGCTTTTGTTGTCAACCGTGTTCCAGTGTAAATATCGCTTCGGGTGACCGAATTCGAGTAATGTCTTTCGTGCGTCCGAATACGGGGTAACGACCAAATGTAATAGCGGCTTGAGCTTATCCTCGTTTATTAATAAGGGGGTTAGTGTTTTTACTTTTCCTGGTTTTGTTATATATAAAAAAACAGTCCTTTTTTGTCTGGGGTTCGAACCCAGGCCGCAACCCACGTAGAAGGTGAGCTTCTACCACTGAACCACTTATGCTTGTTCTAAATCTTTCCATATCAAATTTAATGCGAAATATGTACGAAAAATTCGTGGCGTTTTAGTAAAAGTATTACTTTAATACTAAAGTATATATCACCTATAAAATATGACCATTATAGTTTGTTCCAAACGATTTAAGACCAAAAGTAAACAAATAGGTAGGTAAGTCTGACCATAGACAGTTTAGTGATAGGGATTCATAGACTTATCAAAATCAATTGATCAATAGGGTATTTGACAAGTTTTAGAAAACGACCTCACGTTATTGACTAATGTATAAACATTAGTCAATAACGTCACTCCATAAGGAGTCCGTAAAAATTGGATATTCATCATTCTGTCGTGTATTTCAGTAAAAATAACCAAATCAAAAACTCCATTTTCAAGTTGCCGCGAAAACGTTTCTCTGGACAATATGGCGTCTTACTAGTGTGTGACGTCACACGACTGTTATTAAAACGTCAAACGATACAATGTAATGTCACTTTAACCGAAAGTTTACTTGCGTGATTTTAGGATCGACGACATTTTAGGCTCCGCCAATCCCAAGCGTTTTGGGTCACGTGACAATAGATAAGAAAACTATTGTCTTTTTCGTGGGTTTTTAGTAAAATTATGAACATTTTTGTAAATATAGTAAAAACCCCTGCCAATATTCATTCTAAACACAGATGCTAACAATTGAAACTTTATTTTTAATACTGTC